GCTTGGACCGGTCGTCCGTCGTCGGCATCGTCGTCGTCGTCGTCGTCGTCCTCTCTCGCCTCCTCCTCCTCCTCCTCCTCCTCCTCCTCCTCCTCCTCCTCCTCCTCCTCCTCCTCCCCCTCCTCCTCCTCGCCCATCCTCCTCCTTTCTACAGCTACCCCTTATGGATACCACTCCACCTTCGTCCCTGACTCTGTCCAGGAGGTAATCCGCCCTGTCCGCGTACACCTCTGCTTAGAATTAAGCAGTATTAAGCGAAGCCAATGGACTCCACTCCAAGCGTTTTCTCAAGCAGTGGTCCAGATCCAGACATACGAACTTTCTACGAACAGAAAGAAGCTCCAAGAACGAGCCTAGGGTCTGGCCCAGATTCTTGATTTTCCTCAACGAAGTAGAAGTCCATGAAGAATGGCTGTTTTCTTATTATGGTTTCTGATGGGCGTATTGCTTGTTAACATAGAAGATTTGGAGGCGATGTCTTTCCGGTTCATTTGTCCAATCGGGGCGTTCTCGTTGTTCAAAACGGTGCTCCCGTTGCGGCGTGGGCCTCATGTCAAGATCGGCGCCTTGCTCCCGTCGTCCAGAGATGGCGCTCTCGCCACAGCACGGTCCACAATTCTGGATCCGAATCCTTCCGTTTCGTCGTCGCCCCGTTCCTTCAAGTCCTCACTATGCTGCTCCTACTTTACTCCTCATGTTCTTTCTCTTGCCATCCGCTACGTCCTCCTCCTCCTCCTGCTCTTCCTCCTCCTCCTCCTCCTCCTCCTCCTCCTCCTCCTCCTCCTCCTCCTCCTCCTCTCCCCAGTCTCAAATTACACCGTATGAATGATACTCGCCTTTCTCCCCCGAATACGTGCTGAAAGTATCCCATCCCATACGTGTAATCATTTTAACCACGATGCTATATCACGTTGTGTTCCACAGCTCTTGTTTTCCAATCGGAGCGCCTGCTGTGTTTATAACGCTATTCCCGCTGCAGCCCTGGTCTCATTTTAAGGTCGGCGATTTGCTCCCGTCGTTGGGAGTGGCGTTCTCGCCCCAGCGCGAGCCACAACCCTGGATCCGAGTCATTCTTCGTCGGTGTGGTCTCCCTCCTGTTCCCTTCTCCGCCTCGCCCTGGTTCTCCTGCTCCCCCCCTTCCTCCTGCTCCTGCTCCTGCTCCTGCTCCTCCTGCTGCTGCTCCTCCTCCTCCTGCTGTTGTTGCTACCGCTGCTGCTGCTGCTGCTCCTCCTCCTCCTCCTACTCCTCCTCCCTCACCCTCATCATTCTTATCCTCATCCGTATCCTCATCATCTTCCTCCGGCTCATCCCCCCATTAATCCACCACGTCCTCCTTCAATGTACCCAACTTGCTTGTTCTGATCACGCACGACACGATAGGGAGAGTTGGAGGGTTCCAGGTCCGCTAGGGCACCCGTCGGCGAAGAGAGAAAAAACACAGCGCAATAGAATTGGACGGGTAGGATGTCGGATATGGCGCGAGCGCACATATATTGCCTCTCTTCTCTCTCCTCCCGTCCATCTCCCCTTCCTCATCTCCACCCCTCTCTCCTGCCTCCTCCCTCCTCTCTCCTCCCGCATCTCCCCTCCCCCATCTACGATTACACAACATGGGTACGAATCTCCTTTCTCACCCAGAGCTGTCCTGGGAGTGGCTGCCCCCGTCCGCGTTTTATGTACACACATGATGTGGGCCAGTTGGTATTTCGCAGGTGCTTTGGTTCCAATCCGAACGCCCTCGACCCTTCCAAAATGGAGCCCCCCTGCAGCATTCTGCCTTCCCATGGCCCTCCTTCTCCTCCCACTCCTTCCACTCCAGTTCCTGCTGCTGCTGCTGTTCGTCCTCGTCCTCCTCATTCCTCAGCCCCCTCCTTTTCATCCTGCTCATCCTCCTGCTCATATGCCAACTCCTCCTCCTCCTCCTCCTCCTCCTCCTGTGTACGCAGCTTCCCTGTCCCTAGTGCGCATTACACGATGGGGTGTTTTCTGGAGTTCCAGGTCCGCTATGACACGCATCCGCGGAGAGAGAAAACGTAAGCACAATTGGAAGGGATGGGTGGGAGGGGTCGGATGTCAGATATGGCGCGAGCGCACCTAGCTTGCCTCTAACCTCTCTCCTTTCTCCCTCCTCCATCCCTCCTCTCCCCTCTCTCGTCGTCCTCGTCCTCGTCGTTGTCGTCGTCGTCGTCCTCCTCCTCCTCCTCCTCATCTCGCCTCCCCATCCCTCTGACGAGGAGGACAAGAACGGCGACGATGACGACGGCGAGGACGACACCCGATGCACACGGGAGAGGATGCGAACAGCTCGCGAACACATCTGCAAGCGGACCCTCGCACACTGAAGCTGCTGTCCATTCGGGGCGACGAAGAACATATAAGATACTTACAGTCGGACCTAGGCCAGAAGAACATTCCCCAAGAACATGAGACCCTCCGCCGGCCAAAACACGCAGAACATGCAAGGGTACCCTCCCCAGTATGCACAATACTATCCGACCAACAGACACGGAGAACATTAGGACACCTTCCCCGAACCGACCTCTATCTCATACCTCGGTCCGAATGTAGGCGGACGCAGTTCCATGGCCGCGCAGGTCCGAGACGGCGACGCGCGCCCGCCGTCGCCAGAGGCAGCAGCGCCAGTTGTTTGGAGACATTCGCACACTCAGAACTCAACCCAACAGCGCGAAAGGTAGGGAGCAATACATCCACCCTCATAGTAAGCACCCCGACGAGCGAAGCCAAGTAGTAAACGCACCCAAGGAAGGAATCGACCAGGACAGGGCCGTTTCTGTAAACGCCCAGGGCCGTTTAGTAAACGCCGAGTATCGGGATCGGGGTGGTTTTTCCTCCCTTGATAAAGGTCATGGCGCAGCACCCCAGAGCTGCTTGGACACGGGACAGAGAGTCGAAGGGGAGAGCGTGCCCGTGCAAGCTCGCTGGCCCCACGGGCCAATGGCGTGCCGGGATCTCTCGTGCGAAGTTCTGCCCCCCTCGTACGACCTCATCCTCCTGGCCCCTCCTCCTACTTTCTTCTCCTCCTCCTCCCCCTCCTCCTCCTCCTCCCCCTCCTCCTCCTCCCCCCCCTCCTCCTCCTCCTCCCCCTCCTCCTCCTCCTTCTCCTCCTCCGCATGCGCCTGCGACCACCGTGCTTCCCGGGGTGCTGGCACCAGGAAGCTGGGCATACCAACGGAGCCCAGGCGCCCCAAAACGCATCGCTTCGAATCCTCCTCCTCCTCCTCCTCCTCCTCCTCCTCCTCCTCTCCTCCCCCTCCTCCCCCTCCTCCTCCTCCTCCTCCTCCTCCTCCTCCTCCTCCTCCTCCTCCTCCTACTCCTCCCAAGAGCGCTCGCTCACGGATCCATCCCTGACGGCCCCGGAGCCCGAGAGCGGACCCCCAGAGACCGGAAGCACTGAACAACAACGCTCCAACGACGACGGCGACGACGACGGCGACGACGGCGACGACGACGGCGGCGGCGGCTGCGGCTGCGGCGGCGGCGGCGACGGCGATGGCGACGGCAGCCGCCGCCCACGCCGCTCCGCGAGAGAGCCCCCGCCAGAGCCCCCGCGGGGAGAGGAGGGGGGAGGGAACAAGGAAGGAGGGACCAGGGGGGAATGGAGGACGGAGGGAGGGGAGAGGATGCAACCGACGTGGTGCAAGCGATGTGGTGTAACTTACGTTGTGCAATATCGGTGGTGCAATTTTTGTGGTGCGATCTGCCTGGAGGTGCAACATTGGTGGCGCGATCTATACAGTGACACCTATATTGTGCAATCGGCGCTGTGCTATCTACGTGGAATTAATGCGGTGCAGTGTGTGCGGTGCAGTCTAAGTTGTGCAACATACATATATATGTATTATGAAGTCTATGCGGTGGAATTTAGGTTGTCCCATCTATATTGTGCAGCCTATGCGGTGCGATCTATATTGTTCGGTTTGCGGCACCGTGGTGCGGGTTCACCCGTGGAGTGGCGAACGCGTTCACGAAACGCGGTGCTGCACCGTGCCTCGTTGGCATCCCATGTGGCCTGCCCTGGCTGTCGGGTGGGGCGACGTGGCTAAGCTCGTCGTGGAAGGTATGAACGGCTTGACTGGCCAGCTCGAGCAGTTCGTCCTCTTCGTTGACGAGATTTGCCTCGCCCGTGCGCGATCGGAGCATGGTTTCTATGCGGTCGCCTGGGGATTGCTGTTCCTCCCAGTCGGGTTGCGGGATACGCCAGCGGGTACTGCACGACACTCCTCGTCCTTCTTGCTGGTTGCCGTGCCAAATCCAAGTCAAGAGTGACCAGGAGGACAAGGTGCTGCTTTGTCGGGGAGGTCTTGGAGCAGGGGGACGTCAGTGACGAGCTATCTTCCTTCGCTGCTGGCGAAGACGTAGTCGACGCGCGTCTTGCGTGCTCCTAGGGATCTGCAGTCCCAGTCACGGTCTTGCCCATACATGCAGGAGCGTTCGTCAGGGTAGCCCTTGGGTGCGTTTGCCTATCAGAGCAAGAGGATATTGTGAGTGAGGAAGGTGGATTCGCTGATATCGCTCTGGGCGTCAACGCATAGAAAGCACGGCGTGTCTCCGACTCTGTTCGCGGCAGTCAGAGCCTGATTTGCCGTATACGGAGGCAACGTAGAGGCCGTTAGTCGCGTCTTTACTTCCCCTAGTTCTCCTCTGCCTGGTGGCAGGGAGGGGTCAAGGATCGGGAAGAATGCTTCCGTCCGTCGAGTGGTCGCAAGGAGCGGCGTAACTGTGGGGTCAACTTTTGCGGTGTATGCATACACCTCCGTGTTTGGCAGAGGTGCTTCGTACTCTGTGGTCGGTCCCTCCGCCGTGCACGTTGCGGAGGACGTAATCGTCTTTGGGGCATCGCCCCCACATTGTTCTCCAGGCTCCGTTGTCGGAAGAGCGGATGCTCCCGTCGAAGGTGTGGGGTCGTGCCGCGGGGCGCCTGGTTCCCTGAAGAGCAGCGATGCAGCGGCCAAGTGCCAGGGTGCCAAGAGAACGCTTCAGGGTGCTTGGTGCGTTCTCGTTTCGCGGGGGAGGGGGGGGGGGATTCCCAATGCCTGGACTGGGCTAGCTTGGCTAAGGACGCCCCAGCTGGCATCGAGAGCGAGGTGGAGGAGAAGCCGAGAGGGAGAAGGCCCGCTTCTCCGCCCTCGCCCTCGCCGCACTCCGGGGCCGGCAAGGGCGCCCCGCCCGCGATCCGCACCCAGTAGCTGCGCACCGCCTCCCGGTGCGCCCCGGCCGGGCGACGCGGCAGGCGCTCCAGGAAGCGGCGGCGCCGGCGGTACCTTGACGGGCCCGACGTGGCGGGGGAGTCGGCGACGACAGCGCGACGACGAGAACGGCGAAGGAAACGACGACGACGACGAGGGCGACGACGACGGCGGCGACGGCGACGACGACGACGAAGACGACGAGGGCGACGACGACGGCGGCGACGGCGACGGCGACGGCGACGGCGACGACGGGGACAGCGACGCCGAAGGCGAAGGCGAAGACTACGGGGACGAGGATGGGGACGAGAACGAAACGACCACGACGACATGCTCGTGTCGCGAAAAGTGACACGGCGGGAGGTTTCTGTTACGTACCGTCTTTGGCCTTCGCGGGGGCCTTCGCCGGGCCGTGGGACCGTCAACAAAGCGGCTCTGGAAGCGGCAGCGCTGGCGGTAACTCGGCGGAGTCGTGGAAAAAACACGATGGGAGATTTTGGCTATGTATATATTACGTGTATATACATATATATATACACACATATATATATATATATATATATATATATATATATATCCGCCGCTCCGGCGTGTGAGTTTGTGAGAGCGTGGGCTTGAGCTCAAGCTTCGCTTTGGGGAGGGGGGGGGGATAATTCCAACGGAATTCAGTGAACGCACAAGCTCTGGAGAGGGGGGGGGACGCTTCGCTCTGGAGGGGGGTGAAATTCCAGTGGAATTCGCTGAACGCACAAGCTCTGGAAAAGGGGGGGGGGCGAATTCCAACTGAATTGACTGAGCGCACAAGCCCCCGGAGGGAGGGGACGAATTCAACGGAATCCCACCAGCCCTCTGGGCGCAGGTGGTCTAAAGCGCTTCGTTTTCCAACCTCCTTCCTTTCCCTGCTTGGGAGGTTTACCCCCCCTTTCCTTGCGTTTGGACGGGGGGGGCCCGACCCATAGCAGCGTCCAAGGTGGCCTCCAAGATGGTCGAAGATGGCAGTAGATGGGTCAATATAGCCTCCGACACACGTTCAAAAGGCCTCGAAACGGCCCCAAGACGGTTTCAAGTGCCCTCCGAGGCCTCCAAGGACCCCCCAAAGAGGCCAATACGCATCAAAAACCGACGGACAATCTATGTGTTTTGCCTTCTCGCTTTTTCGCCTCCGATGGGCTCTTGAGGCCTCAAGATGGCCCCAAGACGGCCCAAGAAGTTTGAAGGGGGATGGGAGGCCCAACCAGCAGATTCGCCCTAGGCGAAGCCAAGCTCCTGCTCTCTGTACCGTAGTTACGATAGTCCCAGTTGAAGAGGATGTGCCATCTTAAGCAATATGAAGATCCTTTTGGTCTTGATAGAATCGTGTGTCTCGCAGTGGGACACAGTCATATTTGGGCGGCCGTCCGCTTGAGCCGACGCGGCCGCGGGCACACGCTCGCTTCCGCTTCCTGTGTCCCCCAGCTTACTTTCGAGTCGGGGGGGAGGGGGACGAAGCGTCAGTCCGCCGCCCCTTTACAGCAGGTGCAGCAGCTAATATACAAAAGGACAGAAAAAGGGCGGGTCATAAGGAAGGTGGACCCGCACGCAAGTTGCCTTGCTTGTACGATTCTGTACTTAAAGATACTCCTCAGGGAGGGGGCTGACGCCATTGCTGACGCCATTCAAGCCGGGAAGGCGGGAGGGGACATCCCATGAGTTTGGCTGTTCACGCGAGATCGTCACTTTCGAATATCCGACGGTTGCCCAAGCGAGTTCGACATCTCTATTTGACGAGGATGTCTCGAGCTCTTCCTTTAAACATAAAAGGTCCTCCGTTGCAAGCAGAATCGGTAGCACCCCGGATCGGCGGCACTGGCCGGAGGCCACTACAACTTATATATATATATATATATATATATACACACAGATATATATATATATATATATATATATATATTATATATATATAATATATATAATATACATACACGACTGCCTTGGCGCTCTGCGCCATGCACCTTGGCCCTTCAAGCCTTGCATGTGGTGGCATTTGGCGCGATCCTCCGTTGCTTCTAAACTGCGGCCGCTTCGCGCCCGGTCGCCATAGCCGTTCCTTATTCGCTTGCGCCCTCGCTTTGCAGGTCCGCGCGCCACTCGGACGAGTATGCCGGGGTGTGGAGAGACAGCCAGCATGCGGGCGATGTTCCGAATCACGGAAACTATAGGACATGTACAGAGTCCCCAAGACATGTACCGAATCCCAGGTTCACAACCGATTTTCTGGGAATTCGGTTGCGAACCCGGGATTTGAAGCATTTGAATGTTTTGCGTGGGAAGCCGCTGTCCGGAAGACGGCGTGTGAAGTGCTCTCCTGTTCAGGGGTCCCCTCGGAGCTTTTTTTGATTTTCTCGAACTGTATTGGGCCGTCCTGGGGCCTGTTTGGGCGTGCGGGGAGAGGCGAGGGCTGTAGGGGCCTTTTTGGAGCGGTCTAGGGCCCTCCGGGGTAACCTTTTGGATAGGTTTTCCGTCGACTCGGAGGTTTTCTGGGGCCGTCATGGGGCTCTGTGGTGGGCCTTTGGGGTCGCCATGGGGTCCTCTTGGAGGTCTCGTCGGCCGTCTTGGGGCGGTTTCGGGAGCTTGGCCGTCTTGGACGCGGCAAGGTCGAAGTGACGAATCTGTCGTCAAAAACGCGCATTTTCCTAAGGGAATGCCTGTTGGGGGTCGTCCGAGGCCTTTGGGGCCGTCCTGGAGGCCTCTTGGGCCATCTTGAGGTCACGTCGGTCACTCTTGGAGCGCTCTTGTGCTGTCTTGGGGGTCTTTGGGAGTTCTCCGATGACCCCCCTGATCGCCCTAGGTCTGCTGGGAAGGCCTGGCAAAACGCCCTGGGAGGCCCGGGGGGCCGCTTCGAGGCCCGTCCGGAGGGTCCCAAAGCCCCAGATGCCGGGAGTCCGTTTTTTTAGGGGGGGGGGAGAGGTTTCCCCCCCGCCCGGGCTTGCAAACATATAGGACGAGGACTAAATATATATATATATATATATATATATATATATACATATATATACATATACATATACATATACATATACATACATATACATACATATATATATATATATGTATATATATGTATGTATACATATATATGCATACCATAGATACACATGTTTGACGTCCGGGCCCCCCGCTGGGCCCCGGGGCAATCAGAAAACTGCTCGGGACGACAAGCCAGCCCGAGGGGCGAGACTTCCGGGTGCCGCGCCTGGCAACACACCAAGGACGCCGCACGTCCGGGGAGGCCCGCGCCCACCCCTCCGCCGTGCACGCAGGCCGTGTTCCTGCGCGCGCGCTCACGAACGTCGGGCGCTGCGCGGGCTCCTCTCCCCTCCCCCCGCGCGCTCCGCCCCCCTCCCTCGCCTGCTGAGCTCGAGGCGGCCCCGCTGCGTTCCACGGCTGCCCCCCCGCACGCGGTGCGGACTCTCGCTGCGGCGACCAACCAGAGCAGCCGCCCCTGCGAGGAGGAAGGCTATTTCATGATAGGATAGGCTCCAGGCTCCAGGGTGAAGCGGGCACCCAGCGGCGCTTGTTTCTGCGGGGCCCCGTGTGGAACACGTTTGTACATCCTGGAATCCTATAGAAATCCTGGAACGTATCATTGCCACGGGAATCCAGGAGGTACCGATGCCGCTGCTCCCTGGGCCTCTCCCGACGTGCGTTCTGGCGCCGGAACCTCGCGGCCGGCGAGGGGGGCCTCCCCAGAGGCCCAAACAGGCGAAAAACGAGGCAAGGGAAGCCTTCGAATTCCCTCGAGTTCCTCCGACCCAGACCCCCGACGTCGTGATTTTTTCACAACGTCGACCCCCAGAGGTCTGGACCCCTTCCCCGGGACCGGTTTTTCATCCTGAGTCGTTTCTTGGCGCTCCCGAGGCCCAGTAAGGGCCCCCGGAGGCCGAAAATTGTGAAAAACCTCCCGTCGTGATTTTTTCACGACGCGAGGAGGTCTGGGGAAGTCCTACGATCTGCTGCCCCGCCGCCGTCTTGGCTCCTCGACCTCGGCCTCCCCGGGGGCCGCCTCCCGCGCCCCCCCCCCGCTGGGAGCGCGCGAGAGCGGAGCCGGGGGCGCCCCGCTGCCCCCGGAGGGACGGGGTCGCGAGGCCTGCAGGGCCCAGGCGGAGCCCGCGAGCCCGAGGAGAGCGATCGCCCCCGCCTTCCCAGACCTCCTGGCGTCGTGAAAAAATCACGACGTGAGGTTTTTCGCTATTTTCGGCCCCTCGGGGCCCTCGCCGGGCCTCGAGACCGTCAAAAAACGACTCGGGATGAAGAACCGGTCCCGGGGAAGGGGTCGACGTTGTGAACAATTCACGACGTTGGGGGTCTGGGTTCTGGCCCCCCCCCCCCCGCGGGGCCCCAGCGGGAGCGGAGCCGGGGGCGCCGCGCGGCCCCCCCGGAGGGGAGGGGCCGGGGCCCCCTCGGGCTCGCGAGCCAGGGAGCACCTGTTCGGCCAGCGGCCGCAGGGGCCCCCGCGGCGGCCGGGCTGCGGCGGGGCGCGCCGGGGAGCCGAGGGAGGAAGCTGCGCGCGCGGACCAGGGGGGCGGGCAGGCCCACACCCGCTTGAGCAGGGGCCGACCGTCCTGGCATTCCTATAGGAGCCTACCACGACATGCTCTTAGAATCCACAAATGTTCTAAGAACACAAACAAGGTGCTTAGAACATGAACCCGAGGTGTTAAAACAAGTGGGTCCCAGCCAGAAATGTCCCAAGAACGCTTCGTGGAAACCAGCCAGAAGTGTCCTAAGAACGCTTCGTGGAACCCACATCAGGTTCCTGGAACATTGTTTGGTGGGCCTATAGGCGCGCCAGGACGCTCCGCCACTGCTTGACCCGTGCTCTCCGCGAGGCGCGGCGAGGCCAGGGCGTCGCGGGGGGGAGGCCGCGACGCAAGGCCGGCCCAAAAGAGACGGCGCCGAACTTTTTTTTTCTTGGTCCGAGAGACTCCGGCGCCACATTGCCCCAAGACGCTCGGGCGCCGGTCAGCAAGCGCTGGGGTGCACCGAGGTGGGCCCGCTGCCCAGACCCGACAGGGGCCTCAAGGAGGGAGGAGGAGGAGGAGGAGGAGGAGGAGGAGGAGGAGGAGGAGAGGAGGAGGATGGAGGAGAGGAGGAGGAGGAGGAGGAGGCGGAGGAAGGGAGGAAAAACGAGGAGGAAGACGAGAAGGAGGAGGACGAGGAGGAAGAGGAGGAGGAGGCCGGAGGCGAACGCGGGCACGAGAGCGAAGAAAGCGAAGAGGAGTGCGAGGAGGGGCAGCACGGCGCGCCGAGCGCGAGGGGCTCCGAAGGTGCACGACGCGAACGACCTCGGCTCGGGGCTCGGGCTCGGGCGCGGGCGCGGGCGCGGGCTCGGGCTCGGGGCCCGGGCCAGAGGCTCGAGCTCGGGCTCGGGCTCGGGCTCGGCCAGCAGGATCGAGGTCCTCGCGAGGGCCTCGCGAGGCCTCCGGAGGCCCTCGCGAGGACCTCTGGAGGAGTCGGCCGAGGTCCACGGTGCGGGGGCCTCCATGAGGCCACCCGGAGCCCTAGAGGCCCAGTGAAGTGCCCCGCGGCGTCCCGCAACGGGCGCAAGCGCCTCCTCCCAAAAGCTGGATCCGACGCCGCGAGTTTTTCCACGACACCAACATGATGTACACCCTGCGAAATGCTTAAGAAATCATGGGTTAAGAAATTCATAGTCTCAGAACTTGAATAAAAACCCAACATTTCCATTAAAATCTTAGGAGTTACATTGAAACATTAAGAATAATCGAGACTCTGGCCGAAAACTTGGGTTTTCTTAAGCATCGCCTGGAGTGTACAATGCCAGCCGCCCACTGAGGAAAGGGGACTCCGCCGTTCGAAGCACCAGCCACAGAGGAGAAGACGGACCAGGAGCAGCAAGGAGGGAAGGAAGACGAGGAGGGAGAGTGGGCAGCGTGGTTGCCAAAAACGGCTTCCGATGCCGCGACAACCTGGAGGCACCACGAGAAAAAAAACACTACCAGACTCCTCGAGGCAAAGGATTGAAGGATTGCAAAAAAACCCTTCGTTCAAAGGGTTGTTTTGCAATCCTTCGTTGCAATCCTTTGTCCTCCTGCGGCACTCCGCGAGCTGGACTGGTCGGTGAAGGCCCCGGCCCCGAAACCGGGCGAGAACGCCCGAGGCAAGTGTGAAAACCCTCCTCCTCCTCCTCCTCCTTCTCCTCCTCCTGCTCCTCCTCCCCCTCCTGCTCCTCCTGCTCCTCCTCCCCCTCCTCTTCCTCCTCCTCCTCCTCCTCCTCCTCCTCCTCCTCCTCCTCCTCCTCCTCCTCCTCCTCGTCGCCCTCAGCCCCAGCCCCCGCCGAACCTCCCGGATCTCAAAGGGTTGGCGGCGCGCGCAAGGGGGCAGGGGGAGGGGGCAGGCTTCTCAGAAGGAGGCTGCTTCTAGAAGGCAGCGGCCTCACGTCTGTAGACAAGCGGGGTGCTTCTAAGAAGCTGCCCCCCCTCCCCCTACCGCGCGTGGCCGAATGATGATACCGCGCGTGGCCGAATGATGATGGCAGAATGCCTGGATCTCAAAGGGAATGGCGGGTCGACCCGGAGATCTGACGTCTTGATCCCTTCACCACTGTACGGGGTCCCCGGAGGAAGTCCCGACTCTTTGCCCAGTGGAGGAGGAGGAGGAGGAGGAGGAGGAGGAGGAGGAAGAGGAGGGGAGGAGGAGCAGGAGGAGCAGGAGGAGGGAGGAGGCGGGGAGGAGGAGGATGAGGAAGAGAGGAGGAGGAGGAGGAGGAGGAGGAGGAGAGAGGAGGAGGAGGAGGAGGAGGAGGAGGAAGAGCGGAGGCAGGAGGAGCAGCAGGCAGGAGGAGGGCAGGAACAGGAGGAGCAGAAGCAGGAGCAGGAGCAGGAGCAGGAGGAGCAGGAGGAGGAGGAGGAGGAGGAGGAGGAGGAGGAGGAGGAGGAATGGCCTGTTTTCCGGATGAATCGTTTTGAACGGCCCGGAGGCCTGGCGAGGGCCCCCCCAGAGGCTGAAAAACGGCAGAACACCCTTGCGCTGGACCTTCTGGCCCTCCTTGGAGGCCCGAGGAGGGCGGCACTTCCGCAGCTCGCAGCAGAGGTGCTGCGTGGTCGTGGGCCACACCGGCGGCAGCAGCCGGCAGAGCTCGGCGTCCTCCCGCTCCGCGCGCCCCTGCAGCTCCGCGTGAACGCGCCGCAGGGCCCGCTCGTCCGCCGGCTGGCCCCGCACCAGCATCTCCAGGCCCCCCTTCTCGGGCGTTGCCAAGGGTTCGAGTGGGGGATCGACGACAGAAGTGGTTTATCCCGACATTGATTTTTCCGCCGAGCGTACTGAACATTCGAAGAGACCTCCGTAGCTCTGACGAGGAGCATTCGATGCATGTGTTGTAGATTCTACGGAAAGAAAAATCCTGGGGTACATGAAAGTCTGCGTCGATGCCCTACTCGAAGCGCTTCTCTGGCCCAAGCCAGGCCTCCAAAGCAAAACAATTCAGCGCAGAAGTTGTTCGCCGTTCTCGGCCTCTGGGGGCCCTCGCACGGCTCTGGGGCCGTCGAAAAGCATCTCAAAATGAAAGGCCGGCCCGGGGGAGAGGGTCGGCCGGGACTTCCTGGGGCCCCGTGAGGATCCAGTCCAGACCTCGGACTTCTGGGACAGAGTCCCCCGGATTTCCCTAGAGGCCCCAAGGAGCGACGCAGAGGAACAGGGCATCGCCGACACGGCACCCCTGCGCCGCGGCTCACGGGGGCCGCCACCGCGGCACACCCCGTGGCGACGAGGATCCAGTCCAGACCTCGGACTTCTGGACAGAGTCCCCCGGAGTTCCCTGGAGGCCCCAAGGAGCGACGCAGAGGAACGGGGCATCGCCGACACGGCACCCCTTCCTCCTTCTCCTTCTCCTCCTCCTCCTCCTCCTCCTCCTCCTCCTCCTCCTTCCTCCTCCTCCTCCTCCTCCTCCGCCCTCCTCCCTCCTCCTCCTCCTCCTCCTCCTCCTCCTCCTCCTTCTCCTCCTCCTCCTGCCTGCCTCCTCCTCCTCCTCCTCCTCCTGCCTCTGCCTCCTCCTGCCTCTGCGCCGCGGCTCACGGGGGGCCGCCACCCGCGGCACGCCCCGTGGAGAAGAGGAGGGCGCGCTCCCGCGCGACCTTTCTGCGGGGAAGCTTTTGCGCGCGATGGTCCGCGCCGTCGGCCTCGCTTCCTGCCGCCGCCTCCAGAGCTCGAGTAGGGGAGGAGGAGGAGGAGGAGGAGGAGGAGGAGGAGGAGGAGGAGGAGGAGGAGGAGGAGGAGGAGGAGGAGGAGGAGGAGGAGGAGGAGTAGGAGATGATGGGGGGGGGGTGGGGGGGGGAGGGTCGAGCTCCGCCCCCCGAAGGACGGCCGTCCTGCTCACTCCCACCCGCCCTCCCGCCACAAAAGTGGCAGCCGAACCTCGGCATGGGCCAGGGGGCGCCGCTCGGATGGGGATCGACTACAGAATTGATTTGCCCCCGAATTGATTTTCTTGTCGAATCCATTGGAAATGCGCAGAACCATCGTACATCTACAAACATCCGACATATGACTCGACGATCACATCAAGTTTGGGGTAACCCAATTCTGTAGACGATCACGTACTCCAAGGGCACCCCTCACGAGGCCCAGAGGGGTCCCAAGGGGCTGCGCAGCGGCGCAGCGGCGCGAATAGCTGCGGACACCTTGGGCCGGGACCGCTGCCGTGGAGGGCAGAAGAACCGCCCTCGTGATAAGAGGCACCCTGGCAGGCGGAGCCGTTTCGCAAACGCACCCAAGGAAGGGATCGAACAGGGCAAGGCTGTTTCTGGTGAACGCCCATGCTGCTCCGTAAACGCAGTTTGCGGGGGTCGGGGTGGTTTTCCTGCTCTTGACCCCAGACCCCCGACGTCATGACTTGCTCAAGACGTCGACACCCAGAGGTCTCGACCCATCCCCAGGAACTGGCTTTCCATCCTGAATCGTTTTTGGACGGCCCCGAGGCTAGGTAAGAGCCCTCCAGGGCCAACAAATAGCGAAACACGTGCCGCCATGCTTTTGTCATGACCCGAGGGGGTCCAGGATTTAGCTCGGCGGCGAGCGAGGGGGGGAAGTTAGAAGAAGAAGAAGAAGAAGAAGAAGAAGACCTTCTCAGAAGGCCCCGGGACTTCTCAAAGGCCCTCGCGCCTTCTGAAAATTGTTATGTGTCTTCGTGGAAGGCTTAGAACACTTCTCAGAAGGCTGGGGGACTTCCGAACCTTCTGAGGAGGCCTTCGTCTTCTCACTTCCCCCCCTCGCTCGCCACCGATGGGGAAACCACAAGGTACCGCTACCGCTACTGCTCGGACCTCTCCTGGGGTGCGTTCTGACCAGGATTTCGAGGCGCATCCAGCGGTGGCGATGAGAACCTCCCAAGAGGCCCAAAAGGGGGAAATCGGGGCGAAGGGTGGCGGTCTGGGTACCGTTTCCCCTTCTGAGAAGCGCGCTGCCTTTGTGATATTTCGGGCCGGCGTGGGCAGTTCAGGCGCTGCTGATGAGCCGTTTCGGGCCCGCCGCCCCGCTGCCGCTCGCCCGAAGCGCCATCAAGGAGCCTCGATGCGCAACCCTTCCAGAGTCAAACGGGAGACCCCCTCTGAGATCAGCGAGGCCCCGCCTTCGCTCCGCCCAGCACGATCCGGGCGCCGGGGAGACCCTGACGAAGAGCACGGCCGATCCGATCCGACGAGGCCGAAGACCTCCGATCCGAGCGAGGATACTACGAAGACGACGACGACGAAGACCTCCGATCCGAGCGAGGCCCCGCCTTCGCTCCGTCCAGCACGATCCAGCACTCGGACGCCGGGGAGACCCGGACGAAGAGCGGCACGGGCGCGCGCTCTGGGAGGCCCGCCGCGGGCTTCGCGGGCCGGCGCTGGGCCCCCCCCCCTCGCCCCCGCGCCTCTGGCGGCGCGTGCCGCGCTGGGCCCGCGGCGAGCTCCGCGCACCGCGGGGAGGGCGCGAGGAGAGGGGCTTCTCCTCCGCCTCCTCCTCCTCCTCCTCCGCCTCCTCCTCCTCCTCCTCCTCCTCCTCCTGCTCCTCCTCCTCCTCCTCCCCCTCCTCCTCCGCCTCCTCCTCCTCCTCCTCCTCCTCCGTGTCCTGCTCCTTCTCCTCCGCCTCCTCCTCCACCTCCTCCCCTCCTCCTCCTCCTCCTCCTCCCTCCTCCTCCTCCTCCTCCTCCTCCTCCTCCTCCTCCTCCTCCTCCTCCTCTCCTCCTCCTCCTCCTCCTCCTCCTCCTCCTCCTCCTCCTCCTCCTCCTCCTCCTCCTCCTCCTCCTCCTCCTCCTCCTCCTCCTCCCCCTCCTTCCTCCTACCTCCTCCTCCTCCTCCTCCTCCTCCTCTCCTCCTCCTCCTCCTCCTCCTCTCCTCCTCCTCCTCCTCCTCCTCCACTTTGAGCACCGCAGCTCGCTCCGCGCACCACGGGGAAAGCGCGCGGGGAGGGGCTTCTCATCCATCTCCTCCTCCTCCTCCTCCTCTCCTCCTCCTCCTCCTCCTCCTCTTCCTCCCTCCTCCGCCTCCTCCTCCTCTCCTCCTCCTCCTGCTCCTCATCCTCCTCCTCCCCTTCTCCTCCTCGTCCTCCTCCTCCCTCTCCTCCTCCTCCTTCCTCCTCCTCTTCGTCCTCCTCCTCCTCCTGCTGCTCCTGCTCCTCTCCTCCGCCTCCTCCTCCTCCCCTGCTCCTGCTCTTCCTCATCCTTTTCCTCCTCCTCTCCTCCTCCTCCTCCTCCTCCTCCTCCTCCTCCTCCTCCTCCCCCCTCCTCCTGTCTCCTGTCTCCTGTCTCCTGTCTCCTGTCTCCTGTTTCGTCCTCCTCCTCCTCCTCCTCCTCCCCCTCTTCCTCCTGGCCGTTCTCCGTAACTGTTCCCACTGGGCAAGTTTTCTGATCGAGCTTGTTGGTTGAACCGCTTACCTGGTGCGTAGACACCCTTCAGGGAAGAGGCACCGTCCTCCGTGCTGCATCGTCTTGGCAGGATCGTCGATGTCAAACAACAATCCCTCCTCCTTCTCCTCCTTCTCCTCCTCCTCCTCTTCGTCGTCCTCCTCCTCCTCCTCCTCCTCCTCCTCCTCCTCCTTCAAGCTCTTCCAGGCTGCGGAAACGTCCGCCTCCAGATGAAACGCGACGCCCAACTATGAATTACTCACTGCGTGGAGTTCTCCATCTACGCATCTATTCTCTAAGTGCATGAGCTTTCGAATATAAGCGGGCTTCAGTTGTGACGGTCTGGACATGAAGCTAACTCCGAATGAATTGGAGTGTGCATGAGCCTCAGTAGTGCGAGCGCGTCTCTGCGCATGAACCTGGGGCCTCCTGGGGCCTACTGAAACCTACTGGGGTTTCCGGGGGTCTCCAGGAGCCTCTTGGGGCCTCCTGGGACCTCCTAGGGAGGTGTCGTGCCCCAGGAGAGGCCCAATACATAGCAACAGACGTACATAAAATATTGCGGATTATAGCCACATGAAAAGGGCAATCTATAGGAACACACGTAAAACACCAAGGACTCGAACGCCTCGCTCGAGACATCCTCCAAATCTGCTCCGACAGCGAAGGATGTTGGGACAGAAAACAGGCAAACCGCTTGAGTCATCCCCACACAACGGCCGCGAACGGGACCGTGAAAACACCCCTGGCGGCCCCCCTTGGGGATGCTGACACCAGCGCCCCGCCTGACACATCCTCACAATCTGTTCCGATGGCCAAGGATGTTGGAACAAAAAACAAGCAAACCGCCTGAGACATCCCCACACAATTGCTGCGAACGGGGCCGTGGTGAAAACACCCCTGGCGGCTCCCCACTAGGGGGGCTGAAGCCAGCGCTCCGCCTGAGACATCCTCACAATCTGCTGTGTGTGGAATAATTAAGACAATGAAAAAGTCTGAATACGAGCAGGTATGAATATGAGTAAGTCTGGGAACAAGTCTGAGTATCAGTTAGTCCGGGCATGATTGAGTCTCAGCATGAATAATTCTGAGTGGGAGCATGTCTGAGTATGAGTAGGTCTGAGTATGAGTAAGCTTGTGTCTGAGTAAGTCTGGGTATGAGTAAAGCTGAGTGGGAGTAAGTCTGGATATAAGGAGGAGGAGAAGGAAAAGAGGGAGAAGAAGGAGTAGGAGGCGTCCAAGTAATAACAATAACCTCATCTTAGGTTATGCGGAAACCCAGCGACTGTGATTTAGATGGTGAGGCGGAAGCTCCGACACACCTCTCGGTTGGTGCATGCCCTCTGGGCGGAGGTGGTTTAGAGAACCCGTTCTGTTCCACCCCCTTGTCTACCCTTTCGGGGAGGGGTTTCCCCTCCCCCTTCCCCCTCCCCCTGGGCCTGGAGGGGGGTTGGCGCGGGTGGTTGGAGCATTATGTTTGGCCTAAGATGGCGCCAAGACAGCTCCAGAGAGCTCAATATAACCATCAAGGTCGCTCAAGATGGCCCTCGATGACTCAAGATAGCTCCTAACAAGCCTACACGAGGCTCCAAGGCCGCCGCAAGACGGCCCCAAGTGGCCACGGAACCTCCCAGGGACGCCCCCGAGAGGCCCAAATCCTTCAAACACTTTTGGGAAATCGATGTTTTATGCCTTTTTCGCCTTTTCGTTTCTATGTCTATGGGCTCTCGAGGCTTCAACATGGCCCCAAGATGGCCCAAGAGAGCCCCAAGACAGGCCCCAGAGAGGCCCATGATGGGCCCAAGAGCGGCCCATGAGCTTCCCAAGAGGGCCCCAGGAGGCGACTTTTCGGGTTCCGAACGGGCGGAGGGGGGGGGGGGGGGTAATTGATGCTGCGCTCCTTTTTGAACCGTGGCCTCCAAGATGGTCTCAAGAGGCCTCACATGCCCCCACAAACAGCCCCAAGAGGGCCCCAATACCCCCAAAAGAGCCCCAAGGGTGCCCCGGGTGGCAACACGAGAACCCCAAACGGGTCCAGAGACCTCCTGCTCCGCCTCGTCCTCCTCCCACTGCCCCAACAAGAACGCATAAGAGGTGGAAGAGGAGGATATACGTAAGAGCAGGAGGAGACACGCCCGAAAGTCACGACCGTCGGTGTGCGTCGCAAAATGTGATGTTTTTTTTTTCGTCTCCGCTCCAATGCGTCACTAGCCACGGGGCCTCAACCGCCACCCCCACAGCTCCGGAACCGGGTACTGCGAGGGTTTTGGTTTTGGCCGCACTGTGTCCGTGGACCACGATCCGATGATGAATGCCGTGCCACCTCCCCAGTGGCACAGCGGCCAGAGCCGAAGGCCAGCGTTCAGAGACGACTCGCAAAATGTGCTGTTTTGGGGTGGGCTGGTGGGGATACGCGAAGCGTGAACAATTTATCTGTACAGTCGGACCTAAGCCAGAAAAGCATCCCTCAAGAACACGAGACCCTCCGCCGGCCATAACGCACAGAACACCCCAGGGGTACCTTCCCAAAGGATGCACAAGAGCGTCCAACGAGCACGAAGAACGCGAGGGCACCCTCCCCGAAACGACCTCGACCTTGGGGGGAGCTTCGGGGAAAGCATCAGGGAGGGGGAGGAGGAGGAGGAAGAGGAGGAGGAGGAGGAGGAGGAGGAGGAGGGGAGAGGAGGAGGAGGAGGGAGGAAAGCCAGGCGCGAAGGTCTCCCTGGGTCCGACTGTAAGTGAGAGCAGGGCGACAGGCTGAGCCCCCCCCCCCCCCGCGGGGCGGGGCAGCGCGGATCGCGGCGCGCGCCAAGGAGGGGGGTCCTCCTCCTCCTCCTCCTCCTCTTCCTCCCCTCCTCCTCCTCCTCCTCCTCCTCCTCCTCCTCCTGGGGGGGCGCACGAGGGGGCAGACCTTCGCAATCGGCGGCGGTGCGGGGGAATGACTGACCCGGGTCAATCCACACCCGGGGCCAGTCAGGCTTTGCAGGTATCCTGCAGGATCCCGCGGCATCCGGCAGGATTCTGCACACGAGCCCCGGTCCATGCAACCCTGGCCCTGCAGCATGCTGCAAAGTCCGACGATCCGACTGGCCCCCGCGTTGGCGCTGACCCCCGTCTCTTGAGCCCCGAGCGGGGGTTCTCAGAGAAGCCCTCCAGCCTTCTGAGAAGCCATCTCTGTCTTCGGAAAAGGGCTCACACGATGTTTCTCAGCAGGCCTGCCCCCATCGCACTCCCCCCTCCTCCTCCTCCTCCTCCTCCTCCTCCTCCTCCTCCCTCCTCCTCCTGATCCTCCTCCTCCTCCTCCTCCTCCTCCTCCTCCTCCTCCTCCTCCTCCCCCTCCTCCTCCTCCTCTTCCTCCTCCTCCTCCTCCTCCTCCTCCTCCTCCTCCTCCTCCTCCTCCTCCTCCTCCTCGCGGGGAAAGGGGGGGGCCTCCAGCGCCGCCCCCAGAGGCCCGCGCGGACCTGCAAAACTAAGGCGAGGCGCCCGTGCCGCCGCTCGCCTCTCCCAAGCCCGGACCCCGACGCCGTGGGAGGCTCTCTTCCGCCCACGCGGACCCGCGGAGGCCTCGACCGCTTCCCCCGGGGCCGGCTTCTCCTCCCGAGCCGCTCCCCGACGGCCAGCGGCCCGGCGAGACCCCGACGCCGTGGGATGCTTGCTCTCCGTCAGCGATCTTCAAGTGTCTGGTCGCGCCGGGCCCCCGGCCGTCTGGGAGATCTCTGACGGCAGGGGGCCCGGCGAGGCCCCCCTCCCCCGGAGGCCGAAGCCCGCAGCAGCTCAGCAGAAGGAAGAGAGCGCCCGCCGCGATGGCTTTGCGGGCGGTGGGCCCCCGGGGGGGGGGGGGGAGGCGGCAGAGGGTGCGGGCGAGGCGGGCCTTCTCCGAAGGCGGCGGGTCTGCTCGCAGGCCCCCGCGCCTCCTGAGAATCGGGGGCGGCAGCGGTAGGGGCGAGTAGCTCAGGGGAGAGCAATACATGTACTACCTTCCCAGACCCCCGACGTCGTGATTTTTTCACAACGTCGACCCCAGAGGTCTGGACCCTTTCGCCGGGACCGGTTTTGCATCCTGAGTCGTTTTTTGACGGCCCCGAGGCCCGGGGAGGGCCCCCGGAGGCCGAAAATAGTGAAAAACCTCCCGTCGTGTTTTTTTCACGACGCGAGGAGGTCTGGAATAAGGAGCGCCGAGGATCCATGGCTTCGAAAAGGCTCCCGGGGGAATGCGTGTGATGCCCGCCCCGGGGCGAGATTCGCCCCCGTCGTCGCCGCCGGGAGCGGCCTCGCAGGCCTTCGCCGAGACCGCCGGCGGCTGCTCGGGACGGCGCAAGGGCTTCCGAGAAGCCCCGCCGCCTTCTCTCAGAAGGCCAGCGCCCTCTCGCTCTCTCCCCAGACCTCCTGGCGTCGTGAAAAAATCACGACGGGAGGTTTTTCGCTATTTTCGGCCTCCGGGGGCCCTCACCGGGCCTCGGGAGCGTCAAAAAACGTCTCAGGACGAAGAAACCGGTCCCGGGGGAAGGGTCCAGACCTCTGGGGGTCGACGTCGTGAAAAAATCACGACGTCGGAGGTCTGGGTCGGTGGCCCGCAGGTGGGGCCCTCGGGGCTGGGGGCCTGAGAATGGGAAGGGATGCAAGGGTGGACGGACGCTGTCCGAGGCACCTCGTCCTGCGGACCCCATCCCTCAGGACCCCATCCTTGGACCACCCATATAGAACAGGGTCCAAGGATGGACGGACGCTGTCTGAGGCACCTCGTCCTGAGGACCTCATCCCTCAGGGCCCCATCCTTGGACCACCCGACCTCGTCCCTGGGCTCGCCGCCGAACTCTGCCGCGCCGAGCTGCCCCGATACGCAACACGCGACACGCAGCGTACTGATACGGAGCTCAACACGCGGGCTGAAAACGCAGGTCCGACGCGATATACATTCGCCAAAACGCGGCCCAACACGTGGAGCCAGCACGCAACGTCTTGACACGGACGCCTTGCACACGGGACGCACTGCGCATCAACACGGGCGCATCGAGGCAGCGAAGCTGCCGCGACGCCACCCCAGACCCCCGACGTCGTGATTTTTTCACGACGTCGATCCCCAGAGGTCCGGACCCCTTCCCCGGGACCGGTTTGTCGTCCCGAGTCGTTTTTTGACGGCCCCGAGGCCCGGTAAGGACCTCCGGAGGCCGAAAATTGTGCAAAACCTCCCGTCGTGTTTTTTTCACGACGCGAGGAGGTCTGGGACGGGGGGGGGGTCCGGGAGACGAGTGGAACAGGGGGCCCCCGCGATCGCAGGCGCTCGCCACGCAGACGTCGCGCAGCACCAGCGTCCGCAGCACGTCCGGGAGGCGCAGCCTCGAGGCGCACCCGCGCTCCACGGCCGCGTTGCGCGCGGCGAGCTCCGCGCGGCCGCCCCGCCGCGGGGGCTCCAGGGCCTCGGCGGCCTCGGCGGCCGCCCGCCACAGGAGGGCGACGAGGCCCTCGGGCGCAGAGGACGAAGAGGGGGCCACGTGAAAAAATCACGACGGGAGGTTTTCCGCTATTTTCGGCCCCCGGGGGCCCTCACCGGCCTCGGGAGCGTCAAAAACGACTCGGGAAAAAACCGGTCCCAGGGAAAGGGCCCAGACTTCTGGGGGTCGACGTCGTGAAAAATCACGACGTCGGAGGTCTGGGTAGGGGGCCACGTGCGAACCCTACCCCTATACCCCCCCCGATTTCTGAGGGGGAGGGTGGGGTTCGCCTCGCTCGGGAGCTCCCGAGCGAAGCGAACCCCACCCCTCCCCCTCAGAAATCGTGGGGGCCAGGGGTAGGGTTCGCACGTGGCCCCCTACCCAGACCTCCGACGTCGTGATTTTTTCACGACGTCGACCCCCAGAGGCCCGGACCCCTTCCCCGGGACCGGTTTTTCGTCCCGAGTCGTTTTTTGACGCTCCCGAGGCCCGGGGAGGGCCTCCAGAGGGCGAAAATAGCGAAAAACCTCCCGTCGTGATTTTTTCACGACGCGAGGAGGTCTGGGCCCTCAGAAATCGTGGGGGCCAGGGGTAGGGTTCGCACGTGGCCCCCTAACGCAGCCGGGGCGAGGGCAGAAGCTGGTGATAGAGGAAAAAGAACTTATGCACATACACCGATTCTGGCCAGGCCCATCCTGAGCCCAGGATCGGTGCATACGCCCTCCTACCTTGGCCAGGAAGGCATATGCACCGATCCTGGGTCAAGGATTTGCCTTGCCAGGATCGGTGCATGTGCATAGTTCTCTTCGCCCGATGGTGAGGGACCACGCGGGAATAGCTCTGAGAGCCCGCGGCCCCGGAGGAACCAATCGGGCGCCGCGGCCCTCTCCGAGGGCTCCGGTGCGCTCCGAGGGCGTGCCGGAAGGGACGGGCCCTCGCCCCGCCTCCGTCCGAGCAGGATGGGGGGCTGCCGCGCGGAGGCTCCTCCCAGACCTCCTCGCGTCGTGAAAAATCACGACGGGAGGTTTTTCGCGATTTTCGGCCTCCGGGAGCCCTCCCCGGGCCTCGGGAGCGTCAAAAAACGACTCAGGACGAAGAACCGGTCCCGGGGAAGGGGTCCGGACCTCTGGGGGTCGAAGGGACGGGTCCTCGCCCCGCCTCCGTCCGACCCTGACCTTCCAGAGAGCTATTTTTTAGCACTGGAAACCTAAGAACCTAAAAAACGAGACGAAACAGCCTATAAACCAAGACGTAAAAGAGCTCTGGGATAGGTTTTTACGTCGGGTGCTGTTTTTTAGCCCTCCTGGAAGGTCGGGGGAGTAGGAGTGGGGGCTGCCGCGCGGAGGCTCCTCGCCGCTGCCGGCCACTGGGGGCCCTCGCCAGGCGCCAGGGCCGGTCAGAAACGACTCGGGGGGTGGAACGCCGGCCCTGGGGAACGGGTCGGGGCTTCCGGGGACCCAGACCTCCGACGTCTTGATTTTCTCACAGCGTCGACCCCCATGAGGTCTGGACCCCTTCCCCCGGGACTGGATCTTCATCCTGAGTCGTTTTTTGCCGGCCCCGAGGCCCGGTGAGGGCCCCTGGAGGCCGAAAATAGCGGAAAACCTCCCGTCGTGATTTTTCCACGACGCGAGGAGATCTGGGGACCCCGCGTCGAAAGAAGCAAGACGTCGCATCTCCGGGCAGCGGGCACCCATGCAGCACGTGCACCATGCCTGGCGAGGGCCATGCTGCGCCCCTGGCATGGTGCACGCGCCCCCATTGGCCGATGCGCGGAGGGTCTGCACGGCACCCTGGGGCTCAGGAGAGTCCTGCTGGGTGTTCTCTTAGTCGGCGTTTCGACATTTTTGCTTTCGGTGCAAAGCTATCGTGTCGATTAGACTCTCTGCGTGTGTGTGTGTGTGTGTGTGCGAAACAAGGATGCCGCCACACACTCCTCACAGCCACACAGACCCTAAGAGTTCAAACTGCCTCAACGACATTCGGCGTTTCAACATTGGGCGGAAGGGGGGGCGGGTGTAAAGGGGGGTCTGGCTCCGGCGCTTCTCTTCGCAGCAGTGCGTCCGGGGGGGGAGGCTCCACCTGCTCGAGCCAGGCGCCACAAGCGGCCAAGATCTACTCCATGGGGGGGGGGGAGGGGAGGGTGCGAGGGCCCGCGCCGATCGGCAAAACAATGCACAAAACACGGTCACCTGGGCATCGGCGGACATCTGTTTGGCTGCGCCCTGCGGGCGCCTGCTTCAGCTGAGGCACGACGACGTCACGGAGCCAGCAGACGGCGGCCCAGCGCAGGTCCCTGGTGATGGGCGTGTTTTCCACCACCACCACCATAAGTTGGAGGGAGGAGGAGGAGGAGGAGGAGGAGAAGGAGGAGGAGGAGGAGGAGGAGGAGGACCCCCCCTCTCCAACTCATGGTGGTGGTGGTGGAAAACACGCCCATCACCTGGGCTGGCCCCCCGTCGCGAAGGCGAGCAGCCAGGTGTAGGCCCGGCAGGAGATGCCGCAGCGCCAAGGGAGCCGCCGCGTGGCGTCGTACAGGGACTCGGCATCGAAGGCTCCCATGCTCAGCAGCGGCTCCACCTCTGACTCCCTACCAGACCACCCCAACCCAACCCGAGGACCCGAATTTCGGGTTGGGCGGGGGTCCCAGACCTCCTGGCGTCGTGAAAAAATCACGACGGGAGGTTTTTCGCTATTTTCGGCCCCCGGGGGCCCTCCCCGGGCCTCGGGAGCGTCAAAAAACGACTCAGGACGACAAACCGGTCCTGGAGAAGGGGTCGAGAACTCTGGGGTCGACGTAATGAAAAAATCATTACGTCGGGGGTCTGGGGTAAGGGTTCCACGCTTGGTTTTTCGATGTTTCCCGACCCCCCCCCCACTAGAAATCGAGGGTAAATCTGAGCCTTCGGGTTGGGTTGGGGTGGTTTGGTGGGTGGTGAACCTTCTGGTAGTGGTCCGCGTTGTTCGCCAGCGCACGGCAACCGCAGATCTTGAGCAGGCGTGCCGGTCTCCAGAGAGACGCCAGGGCGTGAGAGCACAGCTTCTCGATCGAGCAAGCAGGGCCTGAGTCACCAGTGCTGACTACTGAGGCGCAGGTCATCCATGCAACCATTGCATATCCAGTGTGACCCAGGGGAAGGGGACCGGGCGGAGGATGGGCTGGAGTTGGCCTCGATTGCTGACGGGCAGCGTATTCCCTCCTCTCTGCTCTCAGGGCGAGGATGGGGGACGGACAAGTTTACAGCCCATGTCAGCGATAAGACACCTTATGGCAGAGAATGAACATTCGAGACAATGAGGATGAGGGGTCTTGGCGAACAAAGGTGATGATCAGATCGGAATCTGCCCAGACTTCATTGCGGAGTGATTCGCCCTCCCCCCCTCCACAAAACAATTTAGCACGAGATGGCAGACTCCGAGTTCTCTACAGTCTCAAGATGCTTCCTTTCACACCATCCTATAGCCCCCGCCTGGCCAGCATTAGATCGGAGGTGCCAAATCGGATTCGACTACGTTGTCATCGCCCATCCTCCTCCTCCTCCTCCTCCTCCTCCTCCTCCTCCTCCTCCTCCTCCTCCTCCCTCTCCGTAGCCATTTTGGCTCAAGATGCTTAGTTCCGCAGGGGAACAAGTGGATACCGCTAGTCCGCGGCCAGTTTGCATTCCTTCCCCTGGTCAGCCCCAGGGCGAGCGCCGAGGTGGTCCGCCCCACCTCGGAGCGTCGGAGGCACACACCACGAGCCTGCGCAGGCCATGGGGCGCGGGCGCCAGACCTACTCGTTTTGTGCGACCTGTGGTGGTTGGGTCTACGACTGGAAGCTGGAGAGGTCAGGTGGGTGGTGCAACAAGTGCCAGGCAGTCATGCCTGGGTGGAAGTCAATGGCCCCAGGCACGGCGGCTGCGGACAAGGGCAAGGGCACAGGCAAGGGGCCCCCCTGGCGCAAGCCGACGGCGGTCCACGGCACGCTGGCGGAGCTCAGCAGCATGCTGGAGCGCGTCGAGTCCCTCACGGCGCAGATGGCGCCGCAGGTGGACCTGGGGCCCGTCAAGGCGGTGCAGTCGCAGGTGCAGGCGGCGGCGGCGGCGCCGCCCAAGAAGGACGTGTCCAAGGAGCTCGAGCTGCGGCAGGCGATCAACAAGCTCAACCGCTGCCAGCTGGAGGTGGACAACTCCGCGGCGGCCCTGCAGGAGGCTGAGGACCACGTCCTGCAGCTGCGCACTAAGAACCAGAAGGCCATCGAGGACGCAGCCGACGCGGTGCTGGAGCATAAGCGCGCGCTGGCGGCGTACCAGGCGGAGACCGTGTGCCAGGACCCCGAGCCGCCTCAGCAGGCGGACTGGCAGGCACCTGCGGTTGGGGACCTCTTCGATGACCTGGATGAGTATGAGGAGGAGGACAAGGCCAAGCTGGTCAAGTTCAAGGCAGACATGGAGGCGCTGGACAAGTTGCTGCAGGCAGCGGCTGGGCAGTTTCGGAAGTTCAGCGAGCTCAAGCAGCAGGCGGACCGTTTCAGACGACAGGCACAGAAGAAACGCAAGACCACGGAGGACGAGACCAAGAACGACGCGCAGGAGGCCCAGGCGCCAGCGGCGCCTGGTGGGGGTTCCGCGGCGTCAGCTGCGGCGGCGGGGACGGGAGGTGCCAGCCCGACCCAGCCGCCTCCCACGGAGGAGCAGAAGCGCGAACGGAAGGAGGTCATTGACAAGATCAAGCAGCAGGCCGAGCACAAGGCCAGGGGCGCCAAGGCCAAGACCGCCCCCACGGCGTACAGGGACGCGGTGCGGGGTGCAGAGGCTGATAAGACTCCTGGTGGCGAGCCAAGTCTTTAGCATCTTCTTCTCGAATATCACAATGTGGGGGCCTAAGGCCCATAAGTTCATCACGGAAGAAGGCAAGCAGAAGGACATCATCATGATGTGCGAGACGCAAGTGGATCGAGGGCGACTGGAACAGGTACGTGAAGTGGTAGCACGAGATGGCTGGAAGCTACAGGGCACGGCGGCGGTGCCCACAAAGCGGTCTGAGAAGGGCACCACGGGGGGCGAGTTCATATTGGCCAGGACTCACCTTGCATGCACTGGATACGACCTGTTGAGGAAGCGCATCGTGGACAACGGAGACGTCGACCCGTTCAGGGGCTTCGCGGCGCTCAACGTCCACACGCGCTCGGGCAACGCCATCCTGATCTCGGCCTACCTGGTTCCAGGCGAAGGCTTCACAGGGTCGAATTACCACAGGATTCGATCCCTGTCAGGATTCATCAGATCTCTCACGGACCCATGGGTGGTCCTGGCTGATTGGAACATCCCAGCGGACAGCATGGAACGCGCTGAGCTACCTGGCAAGCTTGGAGGAGTGGTGCTACGACCAGATGTTGGCATCACATGTGACAAAGGCAAGGGAAGCCTCATTGACTACGGCATAGCAAGAGTGGACTTCGCCCCCAGGCTCAAGCTGTGCGTTCAGGGTCGCGTGCCATGGCGTACGCATTGTGGGCTCCAGCTAACGATCGAGGGCACCAAGGAGGGCTGGTGGCATCGGCAGCTAGTTATCCCTAAGGCGCTCCCATACCAGGCGAGACCTCAGAAGGCGGCGGACCCTGACTCCAAGACGAGCAAGAGGAAGCAGGAAGCGCAGCGACGTCGGCAGCAGGCCCTGGAGGAGCACTTGCAGGAGGCGTACGGAGAGGCGGTGATGCTCGAGCAGCATGTCCCCGACAGCCAGGCCACACCGGTGCTGAAGATGCCCTACTGCGTCTCGGAGGAGCTCTGGGAGCAGGTCGGGCTCGTGGAGCACGAGATGGAGCTGTCGGAGGAAATGCACATCATAGGTGAGAAGATGATCATCAGAGGTACGAAGCACCAGAAGGATGAGTACCAGCTGACGCAGCAGTACGGCCAGTGGGTCGCCAAGGTGGAGGAGGCGATCATCAGGCATGAGCAGCTGGACGAGCAGGAGGCGCAGGGGCGCCAGGGGCGCGCAGCAGGCTTTGGTATACGATGGGTGCGAGCAAAACCCACACCAGGCAGAACTCACATGCGGTATGGCCCTGCGGAAGAATGGAGTATACTGGCAGCAGATTTGGTCAGATATCAGTCACTCTTTGCGAACGGCACCGACGGGCAGCAGCAGAGAATGTGCGTGACACGCATACAGAAGCAGCTTGGAGTTCTGCGAGGCTTACCGCGGAAAGACGCCTTCAGCAATAATGTGACTGAGGCCAGCAGCGAGATGTACTTCGACATGGCATCTGACATATGGCAGCTAGATGAGGGGCAGCTATCGAATCTGGTGGCCCAGACAGAGAAGCACTTGGCGGTGGCGTCGTCCAGATCAATGACCACGGCTCGGAAGAACTTTGCGACCTGGGCGAAAAAGGCATGGCAGACCAAGGCGGGCATCCTGCACAGGCATGTCAAACCCAAGGAGGCGCCCCGCTATGAGATGGCCATCAGAGAAGACTTCGTCACAGCTGACCCCACCATTATCATGAACACGAAGGCGCGCAAGTGGGAGACCATCTGGACGGACCCTGTGGACAGTCGAGCTGACATCATTGAGCAGTTGGAGCGCACCAAGCGAAGAGCGTGGGAAGAGGAACTGGACCCCATCGACATGGACATGCTCAGTAGTGCGCTCCGAGTCACATCGGCATCCAAAGCGAAAGGTCTGGATCAGCTTGGCCCCACGGATATTGACAGACTTCCTGGCCAGGCTAAGCAAGAATTGTTGGAAATATTGCAGAGGAGCGAAAGAACTTTGACATGGCCAAGACAGCTATCAGCCACCAAGTGCGCGATGGTGGCCAAGCCTGGGCCAGGTGCTGGTGATCGAGTATTGGGTATGTTACCGCTCCCAGTTAAGTTATGGTCGAGAGCGCGAGGCGGAGTATGTGCCTTGTGGAGTGCTGGGCTATCAGACCACTGGGACACCGCGATCAAGGGGAGCTCGGCGCTCAGGGCAGGACTCCTTCGGTCGATCTTGGACGAGACAGGCATCGAGATCGGCGCCTCGGCCATGACATTGTTGTTGGATATAGAAAAGTCTACGACACGGTCTCGCTGGTCATCTTGTTGCAGATTGCGAGCACGGCAGGATTCCCAGCGGTGGCAGTCGGATTGGAAGCGATGATCTTTCTTGGGCCCAGATACTTGCAGGAGCGATCTGTCATCAGCGAGGCCATCTGGCCTACCAGATCACTGGTGGCAGGATCCGCGAGAGGAGTAACTTTAGCGAAGCTTTTTCTTCATCCAGTGCTTGAGTTGGCGCATCGAAGACACCCAACAGCAGGATTGTGGACGTTCGTGGACGACACGGTAGCAAGATGCGAGGGCAGTTCACAGACGGTGGCAGAGCAGCTGGTGGAGGTGTCGACGGATATATGCACTGGATTGGTGGAACAACGTATGATCATATCGAACAAGACCACGGTGATAGGCTCAGACTTGAAGGAGGCTCGGAAGACAGCGAAGCGATTACGAATACGTGGCATACCTGCTAAGGCCAGCGGCGTGGCGACGGACCTGGGCCTGGACACTGCTGCAGGACGTAAGCGGGTAGCAGCAAAGAGTAAACAGCGGCAGCTCAAGGCGAGGAGGAGGTTCGCGAAGATCGTGAAGCTGAGAAGGATTGCGGCGCTGAAGCATGAGTCCAAGGGCCTCTACAACGTGGGCGCACTGCCGCAGGCGATCTATGGGCAGCAGACGTACGGCATGTCCAAGCAGGCGATCACCGCGTTGAGAAGGCAGGCGGGCAAAGTGGCAGGAGGCAGTGCAGGAGGTCGATGTCTGACGACCACGCTAGGCATGGAGCTGGGCCTGAGAGACCCCGCTGTTGATCTCAGACTGGAGGTGGTACGTGAATGGATAGGCCTTTGGCAGAGGTTTCCCCACATCCATCGACGAGTTGCGAAAGCATGGCCGCTCATCAAGGCGCGGCTCCACAGATATGGCGACAAGAGATGGCGAGCTGTACGGGGCCCCACAGGAGCTCTGATGGCAACGCTAATGGATGCTGGATGGACACCTTCGACAGCCACAC